TGACTAAGCCTTTATGACATGGAAGTAGCTGGTATACCTTGGCATGTGCTGGAACCTGCTGGAAGGATTGGATGGTCAGGTGACCTGCTGTGCATGGCTGTGCATGACCTCATATGACCTCATCCTTGGTCATATGACCTGATCACCTGACTAGGCTGAGTAAGCAAGATGTTCTAGCAGGTTCCACCACAGAGGTATAAATATAAGGCCTACTCTGCCTGGGGACTGTCTCTTCAGACTTGGTCTCTTAGGATCATCCACAGGTACCTATACTGTAGATAGGTCTTAGTCATCAGGTCTACTCCACTTCCTTGTTGCCTGCTTAGACTCTTGGCACTCTTAGGTGAGCAGACTTAGTCAGCCTGTGTTGCCCTAACAGGACTCCAAGAGGGGACACTTGCCTTTTTGAAGGGAGTATCAGGTCTGACTGACCATGAGTGATAGAAAAAACATGACATGAAATGTAAGCATACCTTGCAAACAGGGGGAGCCTCATGACTGGTAGCAGGAAGTACCAAACTAGGAAGGGGTTGGTTGGTCGATCTGATGGAAGAGCAACTGACATGTGGAGTGAGAGCATCAGGAACTTGCTCAAAACCACTACCAGAAGAGTGATGGGCCTAAAAAGCCACACTTGAACCGAGAATGACCTGAAGGGCTAACAGACCAACCTCATAGCTTCTATTGACTGCATTGATGGAATTGACCCCATTGATAGACTGACCTTGCAGAACATTAACTGGAGTTGACACATGAAGACCAGATGAAGCCTGCTACCATGTCAGACAAGCACCATTGCACTGTAACAAAGAAGGAAAAGCCTCACGTTACAATGTGGCATACTCTCCTCACCTGAGTGACCAGTCAAGGGTGAAAAGGTGTTGATATCTGCAGACAAAGGAATGACAGGAACTGCATTGACAATAGAAGGGATTGAGTCCAGTTTTTTCCTGAATGAGAAAAAATGAGTGCCAAGTATACGTCAAACAAAACAATGTACACAGAATAACTATAGAGAGCAGACAAGGCCAAATGGGAGGCCTGACCTGGCCAAGTGTTGTCACAGGGGGGGAACGAGATGGCAGCAGATGAAGCAGCAGCATCCGGCACTCTCTTGGAGGAAGCCTGAGGGGGAGACTCAGCAATAGGCCACATAGCAGGATCAAACGTGGGGAGATTGGAAGAACAAGATCTTCCTGCCTTTGTTGATTCCATTGCCATATACCAATAGGGCCCCATGAGTTTGCAGAGAGGTGGAGTCAAATGGTCCAGCCAGGAGGGGTCAGCAGAGACAATGACATTGACAGCAGCCTATTGGAATAGGATGTCAGTCAAGAAGCAACTCCAGCAAGGGGATAAACACACCCTGGATGTTTCCAAAATGTCTGGTAAAGACAGGGAGACAGTGTGCTCCCATGAACCTTTAGAAGAGAGATCCACCAACACACAGAAGAGAACTTCTGCCTGGCTAATATCTGAGCCAGAGGAAGACAAAGGGTCAGACAACATCAATGAATGCATAGAAAAGGAGAGAAGAGTGTAATAGCAAGAGCAAGCTGGATGGAATTAAAACATCTTATTGTATGATGGTTATTAGGAGTACACAGCAACCAGAGGGACTTCAAGCTGCTGAGGTAGCAGGAAAAACCTGCAGTTCGGAAACAGAACAGAATCTAAAGACACATATGAGTAAATGGAAATAGTTTTGGTGGGTGATGGTTTGGAGTTTGGCACAAACCACAAAATGTGCACAACATGGTATATATACACTTTTGGGTTGACTGCTGTGTGGACATGGTTGGATCTGTCAGTGAATGAATACAGTATGCTCTGCCATTTCTGCTCCTTTGACTAGTAGTTTGACCCTGAACCTCTATAGATCACAAAGTCCAGACTACCAAAGAGGTGTATCTAAATATTTTGATGTAGATTTTGCCAAAGTATGGACAAGCATCCCCACTGGAGAGCAACCTTTGTATCTCCAGCTGAACACTATTCTCCTCAATGATTCATGTCTCAAAGGTGGGTTAACTCAATTTGTACCACAAGTTGCATCTCATAATGTCTTCATAGCTCATCTGCAACCACAGAATCATTTGCCATCAATCAGGTATACCATTGCTCTCCTCAGGCATGAGGAGGCTGTACGCAAAACCTTACATGCAAACAAGTTTGTCAAACAGGAAGGAAGGGCCAAAGCAATCCTTTCTGATGGCTCAAAGGTGCACAATTCTTCTGCCTGTGGGTGAATTCATAATGGTGGCTCATGGGTTGGGTAAGCACATTCAACACAAGAGAGGACTTGGGCAGCAAACACAGAGACTATGAAGGCAAAACTGCAAGCTACAGCAACTGCAGAAAGAGAGCTTGCTATGGGAACTGCATCTCTGTCATCTAGTGCTGTCACTGTAGATGTAAAAAACATGAATATGAGCTGTGTGACCAGTTGTGCATATCTTTGCTCAGGAAGCAGGTGCGTCTAACTCTTCCCCTCCACAGCTGACAGTACATCTTCATTTTGAGCATATCATTGCATTTTTCCAACTTATTTCAGAAATTTAAGGATGATGATAATTCAGATAATGAAGTCAAAGATTTGCTTGACCTTCTGGCAGACAAGGGGACCGGAACTGGTGCCCCTATTCCTGGAAACTCATCAAATATCTGGCATGAAGATCCTGTGAACCTTGAATACTGGGTTGAGAAAGGTATTGAGGTGCTCACCCAAAGGGCTATTGACACACTTCCTGCTGGTGCGCAGAATAATTCAGACCTTCTCCATGTCTCTGATGTATCTGGAATGCCCTCTTCCATTCACCAGGATAACTGGGTCATGCCATCTCAGTCACAACTTGTTCTTGCCAATGCTGCAAGATGTTGCTTTTTTTCACCTCCATTCTCTGTGATCCATCTGTTATGTACAGCCTCATATTGATGGAAGTGTCAAAGTGATACCAGACACAGTGGCCTTGTCTTCTATCCTGCAACATCTTGCTCCATCTGGTAGTATACAGCCATCCAAGCAAGGCATCCAGATTCCTCTTACTGTGGGTGTGAACACTCTGCCTCAGGAGAACTCAGCTCAGTCATCAATACCTGCAGGCACCTACCTGTGAAATGACCATGGTCAAGGCCATGGATGTTGAGGGCAATATGGACAGAATTGTAGCAGGCCTTACAACCCTCCTTGTGGATGGGATACACATTATGGCATGTGACCGGGTGATTCAAACACCTACCGCAATGCACCTCAGAGCAAGCAGAGCAGATATGACTGAGACCAAGCTCATGAAATCCCCCAACACTGACTGTTCACTGAGTGGAGCTACGGGCACTTGGACTATGACCAGCATTGGCATTTGGGACAGGCAAGATATGATGCAGAGTATTATTCTAGGTCTGCACCAGACCACTACAATTATCTGGCACCTCAAGCAAATGACTTTGGCAGGGACGTCCCCCATCTGTATCAGTCGCCTGTAGGCAAGTCTTGCTCTTCTGCTTTGAGATCTCCTTCTCCTGAGCCATTCAAGGAGAGTCTTCACTGTTGCCAGCTGTTGATCAAGGTATACAAAGATACCTAGATGTCTCTGTCATTGAGTGCTTCAGCTGCTCCTCACCATCACTCTTTGCCTGTACATTGCACATGCTGCTGAGCCTGAACAGACATGGGATGCAGCAAAAAAACAGGGGAACTGTTGCCCTCACAAATGAAAGAAGCGTCAGTGAGCTAGATCTATTTGGATGAGGTGAGAAAGACTGATTGTATCACAGGGACATGATATTGGTGATGCAGGACCTGTTGATGAAGGTCAGCTCATCTTGGCCTATTCACACTTTCTCAGTCCTCTCAGGCACTTGAGCATACTATGTTTTGCTTCAGGCATTGAACCATTTCTATCTGTGTGATCATGCAGAGACGCTGGCCTGCAACAGAGCGTCTCCTTCCTATGCTCATTTATCTCTTGACAAACAGGGCCAATTGATTTCATGTTGTGAAAACTGTCCAATCTTCATATACCTGGTTTGGCTGTGAGGAACATGCCAAAAGGGGAGGTTCAAGGAAGCAGTGTCAAAGTGTTAGATCTTCTGAGTTATGCTGGAGAGCAGGGGGATATGGATGCCTTGGCAAAGTTGGGAGAAGCATCCATGGTAAGCCTCAACTTCTTGCTGACCATTTGTACTGCTAAGTCTGAATGCAGTTCCCCAACCTCTATACCCATGAACTTGACCTGGGCTTTCAAAGCATATATGACACATGCAATATCAACTGGGAGTCCATTATCCCAATCACTGCTTGGGTTCTTCTACACTACAGGATATGGAAGGGTTGTCGAAGTTGACCAGGCAAAAGCATTGCTCTATTATACTTTTAGGGCTGTTGGAGGGGATCAAACAGCTGAGGTGGCACTTGGGTATCAACATTGGGCGGGAATCAGCATGCCAGAAGACTGTATGACTGTGCTTGGATGGTACAAGAGTGCAGCAGAAGGAGGTGCATTGACTCAAAGGGCTAGCGATAATCACACTCACCTCTGTTCAGTGATGGCACAGTTTTTAAGTGGCCTACCAGGTGGAAGGACACTTCTCTTATATCCAACTCATCTGTTGGACTTGATTGGAGGTGTCTATGGGCCTGGATCAAGCATTGCATCTATGGGGTGGAATGCAAATTGTGCTGCCATCCATGCCAGGCAGGCACAAGCTGCCAGAGAGACATGGTAGGATATTTTGGAGTTCTATCAGGCAAAAATATTGTCCTTGTTCACTAAATGGTTAATGATGTTTATTAGTATCATATGGATCAAGGCGAGCTGGAATATACCCTCAGACTCAGCAAGATTTACTAGCACAGTACCTTGTATATTCCATCTGCCAGTTCATCTGCCAGCAGGGATGCCATTGGCACTGTTTGGCAAGATTACAGAAGGGCTGGCCAGTACTTTGTCTGAATCACAAGGCATATCCAAAGGATAACCTGACACCTCTGGCAAATCTCTGGGAACTGGATGAATGATCCTCAATCCTGGTGGCTCAAGCCTGTGGATATCTCAGATGCCTTTTTCTGAGAGGAGAAGGTGTTAGGCCAGACCCAAAAATTGCAAACAAGTGGTTCAAACAAGGCACAGAATATGGCAATCGAGAGTGCCACAACGGACTAGGTATCATCCATAAGGAGGGTTCTAAGGATGATCCTAAAGCCATCCACTACTTTGTGGGCACCTCTGGTGCAGATCTGGCTGAAGCACAAGTTCAGTTGGGCCAGTATCACCTGTGTACATTCCAGCAAACTCTGTTCTTGGTTAGGGTTTTAACATTATTTAGTGAAGGGTGACAGCATGTCTGCAACTCAATTCTTTGATATTGCATTGTGACATGGTTCTCCCTTCAAGGCTTACTATTACCTAGCTCACATTCACACAAGTATGGCTAGGGCAGTGAGCAAAGGCACAACCAGCTCTGGATCTTGTGCAGTTGCCTTATCATGGTTCAAGATCATGGCTGAATGAGGTGCATGGGACAATGATTGGATGGGCAAAGCAGAGAAGTGATGGAATACGGGACACAAGCAGGACAGAAAAGTTGCAATGCTGTATTGGGCTGTTGTGGCGGAAGCTGGGCATGAGATCGCACAAAATAATATTGCCTATCTGTTGGATAAAGGTATTTCTGTTGTTCTCCTTGAGTGTAAATTGGCTGATGTCATTCTAGGAGAAGACTACAGAATGATGAACCACACTTCCAGTTCTGCTCTCTTGTACTGGACTTGTTCAGCTGCTCAGAATAATATCAACATGCTCATTAAGGTTGGCAACTACTACTATCATGGTCTCAGCATAGCCAATGCTCTCATACCTGAACACCTGGTGAAAGTGGCTGGCTACTATCAAAGTGCTGTTGAGTCTCAGTTGAGTGCTCTTGTGATGTGGAATTTGGGGTGGATGTATAAGAATGGCTTGGGAATTCCACAAGACTTTCATTTGGCAAAGTGCTACTATGACTTAGCTATGGAAACAAACCCCGGAGGTTACCTCCCTGTCACACTCTCCTTGATCAAGCTCTATGCTCGCAGCATCTGGTACACAATTTTGGGCAGCAAAAATCATGGTCTTTCATTGTGGGATCTTTGGGATGCAACAGATGAGCATTGGTATCTCAGAAAGTCCAAGGAAGATGCAAAGAAGGCACAGAGGAACTCAATCAATGGAGGAATTGGAGAGCATGTCAGTGAAGATGCCATTCAATGGGCATGCAACAGACATGACAGAGATGAGCAGGGCAATTTTGGTCCAGAAGATTATCTTTTCTCTGGAGAGGGCAAAGATGGTGAGAGCATATAATTCATTGAAACTCTACTCCTGTTGATTCTATGTGGCTGATTTATGTTCAAACACAGTGGGTCACACAGAGGGCAGTGGAGGAGAGATGATGGCAGGATGCAGCTGGCCAGCCAGATGGACAAGCTCCAAATCATAGGAACATGGTGGGTCAAGGCAACACAGGGCTGTGTGATGTTTTTCTATAGCATTGAGCAACATTGTTGGGTATAATGCATGGTCTTCCCAGGTAGAGGCAGATGCAATCAAAAACATCAACTTTGAATGGACAGGTACTTGGAAAGTACTGTGGTATATATGCTACAATACAGATACAGGGCATGAAACACAAAAATACAAATGCAGCCCCTATAATAACACAAACCCAGAGAAAGAGAGGATTTGGAAGGTTAGAGTAAGCCAAACACTGGAGTGGTGAACTGTGTCTCATTCTCTTGCCTCACACTTTGGGTCTCAGCAGTCTTGATGATATCCTGGATAACCACCTTCTCATTACTCTTTTCTTTGCAAAGCCTGCTGTCTTCCGCTGAGTTCTGATGGCAAACTGCATCAAGTACTTTGCATTGAGGAGTCAAGAAAGGCAATTTGCTAGACTTTGTGGGGGTGAATAGCGAGGCACTCAAAGCTGAGGGTGTGAGCAGATTGGGGGTAGTAGGGGAGGAAGTCACCCTACTTGGGGTGAGCAAAGGTGTGGCCAGCACTTGCTCTTCCTTCAGTGTTTTGGTGATCAGCTCTTGCTCCCCAAGCTGAGCCAAGAAGGCAAATCAACTTTGACACATAATCCCTTTGGGTTGTCACACATGGGTGGATCATTGTTAAGGGATATGCAATTAGCTGCAGGTACAGTGTGGCTTTGTTGGGAGTTGCTGTAAGTGCTCCCAGTGCCCCAGAGGGAGCTGGACAATGAGCTGCTTGCTCCACTGGGGGGTCACATAGAGAACCTCTGCTCTAAGCTGGACTTAAATGAGTTTGATCCACCACTGACACTTGGTTGATGATGTACAGCTTCACTGCATGCATGCCACAAGCCAGATCCTTGAGAACCAGTGTGTTTATGGGTTGGCCTGACTGGTTCAATGATGCCCAGTCCCTGGGGTACACTGCCTATTGGATGAAGATCTTACATAGAGAGAGATGATGGTAGTCTACAACAAGGGGAAGTCAGTGAGGTGTGAGGGGGAGTTTTGGGCAGAGAAGACCTCTTTGCACTTCTTGGAGGCTGTGGGTTGCAGTTCCAGTTGGTGCAAGGACAGGTACAACAGGGGCACAGATGGATGTAGACTGTTCAGGCACCTCAAGCAACTCAGTGGCCTCTGGAATTTGAGGCATAGAGGCAGCCATTGTCAATGCTAGCACTCAACTGCTGCCATCCATAGGCTCCTGACCATTGGAACCATTTGCATGTCCATTGCTCCTGCCAGACAGCAGTAAGGCTGATGGCGGCATCTGCAAATCTTTCACGTTTGACATACCCTGCAGCCTAGGGGGTACCTTCTCCAGATGGTTGCTGTCACCACTCAGTCCATCAGTGCTGGGCTTGTGCCTGTCAGGTCATGTCCACAGGCCACAGATGCCATTCTTCCCCTTCACAATGTCAGCCCTAATACTAGAAAGGAAATCACAAAATGTACCATGACCACTTTAAGTGACTGGATCTGCAGGCTCTGAGCATTGTAAACTGTTGCCATCTCATACACAGAAACTGCATTGTAATGATTCAACTTCTCATGCATGGAGTGGATAACGATCTTCCACAGGTGTGGGAGCTCATAGATTTGACTGAGGACAAGAAGGGCATTAAGTACAGGTGACGCATGCTGGAGAGGGGTGATGAGAGAGTATGTGTACAAATACAGTACAAAGGTGAGTGCAATGGGATACAGTTTGGGCATAAGCAATTGCCTTGGTGTGAGGCAGGGATCTGCCTTGGGCAGAGGAGGCCCTCCACCAAATCCATATTCCTGGACAGATGACTGCTCTGTCTCTGGGGTGAGCTCAATGAATTCAGGCATTTCGATTGGATAGCTTGGGTCGATCTGCTCAGGCTTTGCTTTGAGAACCTGGGTAACATGGTGGAGAAAGGCATGTCATTGTTCATGGAACCACAGCCAGCACTGATCAAGGATGCACCGGGAGCAGTGGATCTTGTGCCCATCATCACACACAATCTTGAAGTCAGACAGAATCTCTTCTTCCAGCACAGCAAGGCCAAGCTTGCTTTCACACAAACTGATGGTCAGTCATGGAGGCTGGTAGATCTCACATGCTTTGAGATCAACAAAGGCAACATGTGTCCAGCTCAGGAGGTGGCATTGGTAATCCTCCACCAGGTTGCTGGTGCAATTACCAAAGAGGAGGAACTTTGCACCATTTGACCACAGCATGCCACACAACCAGGAGCCAACAGAGAGGGGGTTTCCACAATCTATTCTTTGCCAGGTGCATGTCCAGAGATCAAGCAACCAGAGGGAGAAGAAGTTATAGGTGTGCGCAAGGTAGGTACCACAGAGCAAGAGATGGGTGCTGAGGATGGCACTGGTGGGAATCACAGACCAGGAGGAAGGGATGGGCTGTTCACAAACATCTCTGTCTCATCTGTGAAGGTGAGAGGATTGGGTTCCTTGGGTGCAGGGGTAGGTTGCATAACCACAAGCTTGCAGCTGACATCCATGAAGTTGTAGTTTGAGTAAATGTAGATGCCATTCAGCTGATTGGGTTTTGGAACTTCAGAGTAGGTGGGATGTTGGAACAAATTCTTCTCGGTGCCTCCTTTTCTCTTTCCAAACACTTCCATTTCTTTATTCACACCCCTGAAGGTGGAATGACAACTTTCTGTGTTGCACACACTGCAATGCTTCTGCATGTTCTGCAATGTATGGTACACTCCTGTTTTGCAATCCACATTTGATGCTTGAGGTCATATACCTGCACATTATTGAGCCAGTCATTCTTTGGCTGGTTGTGACCATCAATAATGTATAAGTCTATCTTCATCAATGCTGGAGAGATGGGCATATCGAGGAAGAGGGACATGCTCTGGGGTTTTAGTAGCAGGAAGGGAAGAGTTTGAGAGTCATTGACACTCAGTGATATTGGTGGGCATTGTTCAGCACAGTGATGTTGGGTACCTCTTGTGGTGCTGCTTGTATTGTTCCCTCTGGTGCATTGGCCATGCCTCCAAAGATGACAATATGTCCATTCCATATGTCTGCAGATTGTCATGGTTGGGGTACATGCAGGTTGTCTTCCAGTGCCATGAGGATCTTCTCCCACCTGGGCTCATTGATGTCAAACATATACATGTCTGATATCATGCAATGATGAGCAATGTGCCTTCCTCCAAAGAGAAATGGTCATCATATATTGTTGTTGTCAGACCTGCGGTCTGTGGTGGTACCTCACCCCTTGACTTTCTGAGGGTTGTGAGATCTGATACTGGGAACATCTTGAGAGAAATGGAAGGGAAAAGGTGGTGGTGATGGCCAATAGAGAGGAGGTGGTGGTGGTCAAGAGAGAAGAGACTCTAGAGGCAATATGGAGTGAAGTGTGTATGATGATGAGGAGCAATGTGTCAGATGGTGAGCAAAGTGGGTAACCCCTTCCCCCTCAATGCAGGGCATTTCTCAATTAATTTGTAACTCTGTTGAATTCACCCTCCAACCAAACAACATCCTTCTAGTTACCCCTTACCACCATACCTGCAGTGTGGCTATGACACATCTATTCTTGTAGACTCCTAACACAACCAACCTGGGTAACTCATCTCCTGTCTGCAGGAAAACATCATGCTTGCCCACCCTCTTCCTCCTGCCACTTCTTCCATTCCCCATGCATCTTCTTCTGCTCATCCAACCACTTCTTGTTCTTCTTGATCTTGTGCTTACTAGTACTCAACCACTGTCCCTCTCCTTCCATTAATGGCAAACCCTCCTCATCCCAAGATCCATACATCCCTTCAGGCACATGCAGATGCTTGAACATCTTGCTTGGGGCAAGTTGGCTGCACTCCAGTTTCGCAATTTGTTGCTGCCACTGAGTCTCCTGTTGTGCTGCCTTTGCTCACTTCTTCTCTGCTGCAGCCACTGCCTTTTCATCATGTGCCCACATCAGTATTATGGGATTCGCACACTGAGCTGGACCAGGTCCTCATTGCGCAACTTGTCACACAATTTGAGGAAGTACTGTGTCTGATGGCTGTTTTCTGCAGGTTATCCCAGAATGTGGATAAGACACATAAGTATGGTATCAACAGAGAGACATGCTCTACATACCCATTCAGTAAGTCTCAAGCAAAAGACCTTTGACTTAGGTCCACATTATCAACCTCCCTGGTTGCAGCCTTGCCCCAGCCAATCCCTCCCCCTAGGCCTGCTTGATTGCCCTTGCTGAGGCCAAACATTCTAAGCATCTTCATCACCCACAATGCCACAACTTGCATAACCGAGATGTTTGCAATTGACTTCTTCTTTGAATGATATAGAACTATTCGTCTTTAAGATCATATCTTGAATTGTGGCCATTGCCTTGGGTATTGAATGAGTTGCAAAGACCAACCTGGAACTGGTGTTGAGCAGTTTGCAGCCTGCACTGTGCCTTAACACAACTTTCTGCTTGGGCACAGGAAGACGTACTGTGCAACCAGTTCCTTCTCCTCCCCATGGTATCCGTGACTTTGGTCTCCAGCCGTCAGAGCAACATTTGACTTGGCAATCAACACCTTGATAAGGGTGAAAAAGTTCTAGGACAAAATGAGCATGTTCATTGACACCCTATGATAGGTGACTGACATGGATTGCAGTCTTGACACTGTGCACCTCCTGAACTAATGCCTCCTTATAGTCCATCTTTCCATTCCATGGCTGCAGTAGGGAGGTCAACTGAAGCTGTCACACATTGTTGGCTTGAAGTGCATCCTAGGCAGCAGTAAGTACTAGTCAGGTAAAGTAGAGCCATGCCCACATTGATTGTGATGAAATTTTCAAAGATTTGCTGATCTTCAGACCTTTGATGCACAAATAACCCATGTGCAAGAAATAATTGACCCATTGGTGGCAGTCATGAGAGGCCTGCATTGATCATCAGCATAACTCTGTCAATTGAGATCAGACATACCTCTGACTGTGCGATCTCATTGTCATGGTGTGGAAATGCCTAACCAATACCACCAGAGTGAATATCCATTGCTCACCCAACACCTCGCTTACCATCACTGAGCACTCAATGTGCCACCCTGGATGACCCAGCCCCCACAGTGATGGCAACAACGGCTCACCTGGCTTTGACACCAGGTGAGCACAGCATAGTCAGATGCAGATTGCTTTCTGCTGGTGCACATGAGAGATCCTTCCAGTAGTTTCTTGTTGTTCTTGCTCCAGGGCTCGAGCTTCACATACACATGCTACCATTCCTCTGTCCTTTGTGTTTTTGCATGGTGAAAAGCAGTTGTATCAAACCAGATGATGGAGCCTACTTTGTATGCCCAACCTCTTTTGATTACATGCTGCACAAAAATGGCAATCTCCTTCACATAATTGGTTACTCTTGTCAATGTGTCAGGCAGCATCACCCTGAGTCAGTCCATGTCCTTCATGAATTGGTCTTCCCAGCATGCTGCGTGTGCTCAAGAAATTGCAGGATCTGTGACAGATGAACCATGCTAGGAAGGGTTAGGAGCAGATTCATGAAGTCACAATGTGCTTACCAGCTTATCAGGGTAGAGGGATAGAGCAACTCAAGCTGCCTCAATTAGCTCTGTGGCATTAGACAATGTAGTGTTGTTCCATTTGAGAATCTTGTCAGCTTGCTCCAACCCCACATATGCTGGCTGTAGTGCAGCCATGTGCATCAGAACCTTCTCATCCTGCTGACGTGCTTGAAAGCCCATGCACCTCTGTTCATGAACAGCTGGAAAATGTCTGACCATGCTGCTTCTGCAGGATTTGGTATGGTTGCAAGGCTGCCAGAGTGGTATTGCTGCCATGCCTGACAAACTTCCACAATCAATGACAGTGTGCTAGGATGTTGATTGTTCAAGGAGATAATTGTACATGTGCATCAGTCTTGCATGCTGATTTCTACCATCTCCTCATGTATCAGTTGACCCGGCATATTAGGGGGTATCCAGTAGATATAACATGCCATATTTGCAAGACACTGTGTCTGTGTCCTAGTTAGCATTCCAGACTTGTTGTTTTCAGCAAGCTGGAGGGCAAAAAGAAACTAGGGGGATTCGCTACATAGAGAACAAGGGTCCCTATGCACAAACAGGAGGGCTGACATAGAAAGCTTCCGCAAGCAGAGCCTCTATGGAATGGCAGACGATGCTATGCCTGCAAGGGTTCTGCATAGCCACCATAGCATTAGGTAGCACCACCTGTCTTCACGGATGAAGGCTCCTAACCGCCGTGCTGAGCGGCAATTGAAGACCCTATCTAAATACAAATGAGGAAACTAACAAGTTTACATGGAGTTACCATACTATTTCTACTGTCAGCGCTTTGATCCCGAGTCGACCCAGGTAAGAACCCGTGACCATACAACGTGCCGCGAGGGCACTTTGTCTTCTCATGACATTGGGGTTGTGCTCCATGGGTCTACGTTTCTCTACGGGACAGTTTCCGATTTACGTATCCCAAAGTGCGCGTGCACTCTCAGGTCTTATATGTGACACCACTGGCAGGTATCTCTACCTGTCTGTAACTGTCATCTGTCCTCACTATCCGCACAACGTTGTCAACAGCATGCTCCTCCCATTGTTGATAATTACGCCGGCTGCTGGACCTATGTTCGCTTCGGCTACTGTTAGTCGGAGATCTGGATCGCGTGTCCTTTGAAACCTATGATGGATCGGGTAAGCAATATCTCATATGACCTCATATGACCTGCTCAATTGACTATGTATGTAGAGTCTCCCGCCCTAAGTGTCCTCCCCAGTAAGGCCTGGCAGGACAATTACACCGTGGAAGGCAGGGTTGGGTTCTCGAGACCGACGTGCCTGAAACATTCACTTAGCAGATTCTTGCTGATTGGCCACCACTTGGGGTTGGTTGTTACCGAGGAGGACAGCACCCATAAGCAATTGTCGAAACAAGGGTACCGGGCCGGCCAATTGAGGTTAGCAGGCACCATAGACCTCTGGGAGACGGCGTGCTCCACTGATTCCTACTCCTGGCTCCAACAAGGGGTCCCGTACACAGTTGGTCAAGGCACTGAGTGGGTCGCCTGGCAGTGCAGTGCGTTCTTGTGCTGTATCGGTCTGTTTCTAGCTGATTTGCCAAAAGGAGTTCAACAAGCACGAAACTGCGTTATACTCGGGAGGAGTATCTTCACACTCGCTGTTGAATATTATGAGGTAAATCACTGGAGAATGAGTATCAACCTGGATAGTGTCGGTTTCGAGCCAGCCAGCCATCCTAGCGATAAATCAAGATGTCACTGTGGTTTTTGTCTTCCGCTGTACGTCTGAACACCCGCATACACAAGCCTCCAGAGCCACAATCCATCACGTATATGAGCTTTTTGACCGCTGAAGAATTCGGGGATGCAAGGTACGTCTCTCTGAGTTAGAACGTCCACCAGCTGAACGTGCTATTTCAACGGACGACACAGGCGCTACTATGGGCAAGTGTAGCACCGCTCTGCCATTGTCGGTAACGGTTGTTCAAGTGCGGTGCATCATCCAAACGAGGTATCGACCGCGCCTGGTCCTTGCGCGGCAACAAATGACACATTCCGGCATTCCACTGCTCTAGCGCAACGGATGGGAATCAACCAGAGGGACCATACTCTGTCTCTAGGAGGACGGCCTCTCAACGTAGTGCCGTGTTCCAGCTGAGGAATGGATGGCATGATTGCTCATGGAATTTAGTGTGGCCAGGCCTGCTATACAGGACCGGAGGCTGCCTCGAATTCTTGTTCAGGCATAGCAATCTGGCCTGCAATGCTTTCTGGGGTTGACTGACTGATTGCCGGCCGCTAGGAGCAGTGAAGACGTGTGAAAAGTGTTCAAGGGAGCTGGGGACATAGTGATGAAGCACTTGGGTAGAATGTGTCGGAAGAACTCTATGCGCGTTCGGAACGCCGTTGATGGAAACCATGAGATGACTTCATTAGCGCTTCAACACCATGAGTATGCCTGAGTCAGGGGCCCCAACATGCAAGAGGGTGTTGAGGTCGTACTTTGAATGAAAACCCAAAGCCAGATTTTTCTCATCGAAGCAAGGAATGACATCAAACACTGTTGAGTGCACGTTTTCCGGAACCCAAACACGGAGCACAACCCCCTAATGTTGACGGGAGCCAGTGATGTTGGAAGGCGTGAGAACGTGCGTAAATAGACTGTTACAGCCTGAGACGCGCGGGAGTCAACGGAGCCGTCGAACACGCGGTCCCAAGGGTTGTTGAATCCGTGTAGGTTACAACATTGATGTTTCCACTTCTGCGTTGCCTTTACGGAGCGAAGGCGCTGAACAAGGGTAAGTTGGATCCCCACCGGAGTCTGGCTTCTATTCAGTGTCTTCCTCCGCAATGAAACTACCACCACCGTCTCCTTCGGGCAGGAGAGAAATAGCCGATCAGTTGAAGTAGGACCCAACAACGATCAACTCATGGACCGGACAGGATATCTTCAGCACCTTGAAGCACAGCTCGGCAAGCCAAGGACTTCCGTTCAGTGGACGGAATTGAAGCACAGCTAGAGAGCAGAGCCAAGGACTCTCAGCGGGAACATAAAAGTGAACGAGTGCGAAGATGGTACATGTACTTACCCCAACACACAACTCTTTCGGAAGGGTGCCGGACAGTGAGTAGCAGATCATATCTTTCCTTTTCGAGTCGAGTATCTGATAGCACTCTCTAGCCTTTCTTCCTCCCATCTTTGATATCCCCCTGGTGCAGGACAGTAAGTCGCTTCCTCATCGACCACCGTGGCGTAACTTTACTAATAGGTTGTTGTCAGCCATAACTAACACCATCCTTACCTTTCCATTCTACCTTCTCAACTATTCAGCCCTTTTCCGCCGTCGCGATGATCACGACAATGCGTACGACAAGACATGTTCTTTTCATCACGTTCGCTGCTTGGAGCGTTCTGGCTGCCCCTTTGCCGGCGACCAAGGGCGTTCCGACCGCCGATACCAGTCTTGATATCAAGCAAGTGCCAGCTATTTCAACAGCTCACGCCGCCTCTGGGGAGCTACCTCCCCTATCGCCGCGCAACTGGGATGAATTCAAACACGAGGTGGCGACTGGACTCCACAAGGCCGAACCATTTCTCAAGGGTGCTGCTATGATCACCCCCTTCGTTCTCAGAAATAGTGATGATGACGAAGAATACTTTGTTCTGCGAGATGTTGAGGATGGGGATGCCTTCGTTCTCAGAGATCTTGATGATGATGAGCCTGATTTCGAATCCCGCGGCTTCGGGAAGAAGGTGAAAAAAGTTTTCGCGAAAGTCGGCCAGGTATTCACAGGTATACGCAACAAGATCAGTACCAAAACGCAGAGTGCCAGTGCAAGTCTAAAAGGTTCGAAGGCCGCGCAAACTGTCAAGGCGAAGTGGCCGGCTGTCAAGGCTGGGAGTGCCAAGGCGTGGAACGCGACTAAACATGCGTGGAACGTGAGTCAACCGGTGCTCCAATTTGGCTGGAAGCAGGCTATGTATGTCGCTCAGATCGGCAAAGACCTCTCACCAGCTATTCTCGGCCAAGTCTCCCTCCGAGATCTAGAGGACATGGAGATGGAGCGGCGCGAATTCCGCGATGGAGAAGATATGGAAGCTTCCTTCGAGGCCCGCGACAATCACGAACTTAATGAACGCTCCTGGGACGAGTTCAAACACGCATTGGCAACCGGATGGCACAAGGTCGCGCCGTTCGTCAAGGATGCTGCTATGGCTGCACCATTGGTTCTCAGAGATGGTGATGACGAGGACGCCGAGCTGGATATACGAGTCTTCGAGAAGCTGATGGCCGCTGCCGCGGAGAAGAAGGCAGCGGTTCGCAGCAGCATGAGCACCTTTCTCTTGCAGAGCCCCGCGGCGACTACACACATATTGGCTGCGAGCCACAACGCGGTCTCCAAGACCCAGATGATGGCCATGCACGGCATCAAGGCGACTGAACGAATGGTGGTTGCGAACGGCAAGGCAGCAGCCAGCAAGATCAGGACATTGGTCAAGGAGGGCGCCAAGATGACCGCAGACAATGTGGTAGCGAGCGGCAAGGCAGCGGTCAGCAAGACCAGGGCTTTGGTCAAGGAGGGCGCCAAGATAACCGCAGACAATGTGGTATCGAACGGCAAGGCAGCGGTCAGCAAGACCAGGACATTGGTCAAGGTGGGCGCAGACAAGGTGGCAGCGAACGGCAAAGCGGCTATCCACGAGGCCAAAGCTCATATCAAGGAAGCCGTGTCCCATATCCAGAAGCCTTTCCAAAGCACCACCAACGCGGGTTGCTCCCGTCTGCCTGGAAGGGATGCTGAGGACGAAGAGCTCGAGTTCGACGAGCGGGACTTCGCTGCTGACGAGGACGAACCGCAGCTTGTCGAGCGCGACTTCGGTGACGAGGAAGAAATGGAGTTTGCTGAGCGGGCCTTCATCAACGAGAAGGATATGGGGTTTGATGAACGTGACTTTGCCCACGACGATGAAATGGAGTTCGATGAACGCGGTGTCCAAGAAGCTCTGGCAGCCGGAAAGCAATTCCTCAAGAATGGCGTTAAGGCGGTCGGCGACAAAATCAAGAGCATAGGTTCGAACATATTCGGTGGAGCGAAGAAGGCTGGTGCGAGCATGAAGAGCGGAGTCACAAAGGCTGCTGCGGGCGTGAAGACCAAAGTCACAAAGGCTGGTGCGGACGTGAAGAGCGGAGTCACAAAGGCTGCTGCGGGCGTGAAGACCAAAGTCACAAAGGCTGGTGCGGACGTGAAGAGCGGAGTCACAAAGGCTGCTGCGGACGTGAAGAGCGGAGTCACAAAAGCTGGTGTGGGCGTGAAGAGCGGAATGACGATGGCTGGTGTGAGCGTGAAGAGCGGAATGACAAGGGCTGGTGTGGGCGTGAAGAACGGAATGACGATGGCTGGTGTGAGCGTGAAGAGCGGAATGACAAGGGCTGGTGTGGGCGTGAAGAGCGGAATGACGATGGCTGGTGTGAGCGTGAAGAGCGGAATGACAAGGGCTGGTGCGGGCATCAAGGAAAAAGCGACTCAGGGAAAGGAACTGGCCCAGAAGCACTGGCCCACAGTGAAGTCGAAGGTGAACACGACCTGGACTGCGCTTAAGCCGTACCTCAAGCATTTGGCTGACGGTACCAAGATGTTCTACAACGTCGCGGTCTACCTGCCCGGACCCCATCGTCGCAGCTTGGATGATTTAGAGGACTCGGAAATCGACATGGCGACGCGTGAGTGGGAGGCACCGGACGATGAACTGGAGTTGCGCGGCGAGAACATGGAAGACGAGCAGTACCCGGAGGAGCGGAATTGGGCTGACTTCAAGGAGAAGGTTGAGCATGGGTATGAAAAGATCCAACCATACCTTCGCCCCACCGTCAGAATATTGGGCACGGTCGCTGAGGATATGCCAAAGAGGAGTTTGGAAGGGCGTTCCTGGAGCAGTGCCAAGCAGAAAACGGAGGCTGAGTTCAAGGCGGCCGGACCATACATTCAAACTAGGGCAAGGATTATGGGTACAATCGTTGAGGATGCGCCAAAGCGGAGGAGCTTGGAGGAGCTTGACTAGAAAGATAAAACAGTTGACGGTTTCATGAACAATTGCAGGGAACATAGAACTGGAGTGATCTGATCCGATTTGATGTAGTTTTGTCAATTTAACAAATTGTATTTATTTCAGCGAAGTCCTCTGGTATTGCCATTATCATCGGTCATCAGCTATGAATTAATCAGCTCCAAATTGATGTGGTAAAATAAAATTGTACGATACAGCATGTGGAATGTAGGAGGAAGAGATCTAGAGGTATAGAAGCTGATTGCACGTGCTGAATACTACGGAGCTAGAGACGCGTCCGTAAACACCAGCAACTCTACCCTTGTTGGCTCCTCTTGGTCGTTGTGGATACCTCTGTCGAAAGGGATATACATAAGGAGATGAATATCTTTATTGATCCTATCGACAACAGACAAACACTTGGGCTTACAATCTCAGAAAAACAATCGATAACGACAACAACGGCGACGACCCTCACGACCACACCCCGCGTGTCTGCAAAATGCGTCCCTGCCATCCTGCACACCACCACCTCCTCCGATTTCCCATCCGACAACCCAAAGCTCGAGCTCACCACGCTCGCTACCCCGCTCGCCAGGAAGAGGCAGGATATAAGCACGGTCCTCAGGCCGGTGGACGCGAATCTGGATCGAGACGGGCGAAGAGCGCTCATCGAACGGTTGCGAGAGAAAAATAGGGGGAAGGCGCTGGGCAAGGACAACGGGCCGGGGGCCGCTGTTGAGGACGAAATTACGACGACCATCACGACTGCTGCTGCGACTGCGACTGCGAACACGGCTACAAGGGCTGAACTGAAGGCATTTGGAAATAGACGAGAGCTTGCGGTGAACTCCAGCAGAGGCGACATGTCACTCTTAACCGAACGGCAGAAGGAGGAGCTGTAAGTCTCTATTTCTTATTACCATTTGCACATCTTATATTTTCCACGTCTTCTTCTTTCCGTATCACTTAGCATCTTGCATCTCCCATTTGTCCGTGTTCTCATCACGACTCACGTCCTTCCCAGCCACCTCTCCATCCTTGACTACCTCCACTCCTCTGGTCTTGAGCAAGCATACGATGCTCTCCGCTCCGAGCTGGGATTGGACCATATCCCCGATCCGAAAGCACGGACAGCTGGTCTGTTAGAGAAGAAGTGGGGAAGTGTGATTCGGTTGCAGAAGAAAGTATGTACTATGCGTGCCATCCATGTGTAGCAACCCATTCATATGCTACTAGATCATGGACTTGGAGAACAAGAACTCGGCTTTGCAGGAGGAGATTGCCCTCGCCCCCAGTGCGCGCCGGAATGCTTCCCAAACGGATTGGCTCCCTCGCACTCCCGCACGTCATACCCTCACCGGCCACCGCGGACCTATCAACCGTGTTGCCTTTCACCCTGTTCATACTGTGGTAGCGACCGCGAGCGAGGATGCCACTGTTAAGCTATGGGATTGGGAAACAGGCGAGTTTGAGAGGACGTTGAAGGGGCATACAAAGGCCGTTCAGGACATGGAGTTTGATAGCAAGGGGACGAAGCTAGGTAGGTTGACGCCTATGCCCCTGTTCTATGAACATATGTGCTCATACACTCGCTTCATAGTGACATGCTCCTCCGACTTGAGCATCAAGATCTGGGACTGCGAAGCCGAGTACAAGAACACAAAGTCCCTCGTCGATCATGATCACGCCGTGTCCTCCGCCCGCTTCCTACCCGGGGACGACCACATCGTGAGTGCTAGTCGGGACAGAACGATCAAGATGTGGGACGTCGCGAGAGGATTTTGCGTGAGGACGTTCCATGGGCATGCGGAGTGGGTCAGGCTTGTCATACCCAGTGAAGATGGGAAATTGCTTGCTAGCTGCTCTAACGATCAAGTGTGTTTTCCTTATCTGTCATCAAAGAACCCAAGGGCTGATTTGCTTCGTATAGACCGCGCGTATCTGGGACCCAGCGACAGGAGAGGTCAAGTCCGAACTGAGAGGACACGAACACGTCGTTGAATCCCTCACTTTCGCCCCGCCAGCTTCATACGCCGCCATCCGCGAGCTGTGCTCTCTCTCTGGCCCAGCACCCAAGGGCCCCGGCGCGTACCTAGCAACTGCCTCGCGGGACAAGAGCATCAAGCTATGGGACGTCTCTTCTGGTCAGCTACTGCGCACGTTTGGGGGGCACGACAACTGGGTACGCGCTCTCGTCTTTCACCCGAATGGGAAATACCTCCTCTCGGGGAGCGATGACAAGACGCTCCGGGTGTGGGACCTCAAGACAGGCCGGTGTGCGAGGACCGTCGAGGCTCATTCGCACTTTGTACAGTGTCTCGCTTGGGGAAGGGCTAAAGTGAGCGGAGGGGACGGGGGAGAGGAGAGGCCGGTTAATGTCATCGCAACCGGGAGCGTGGATCAGAGCGCGAAGATCTGGACGCCGTGAGGTACCAATACCCACCGCTATTCCGACAGGGATGAACACGGAATACCGATGCATGATAAGGCCAGCCGCGAGGAGATGAATGAAGAACACAGAGGCTGATCTGGCTCATCGCTTTCCATAGTACGTCCTCCGCTCGTCCATTTCCGTATTCTACTGAGCCTCTTACATAGGTACAATCATAATGTAGATCAGGACTTCGGTCCTGTAGCACGTTCATTCAACATCATCCAGCAAGGAGCAGAGCACTCCCATCCATTCATTCCGGGCGCATACGTCCGTTTCAATCCATATTTACTCACTTTCATGATCCAACTCCTTCCTTCCTTCCCCTTCGTTGGTGTGCTCCACGGTGTGTCTGTAGAAATGTCTTCCTTCAGAAAATCCTTATCTCGCAGCAGCACAAGATATCCTTCGCTTTATTCCCACCCAAGCAGAAGACCAAGAGAATTACGCTGCTGTATTTATTGTAGTCATAATCGGTCTACGATAGGCCGTCGTGTGTTCGACGTCGTCATCATGCCGTTTCCAGCTTATCGTGACCGCTTGAACCCACTGTGACCTTTCCGCCCCTATCTGCGTGACCTCTGCCAGAGCTGCATCTGGGGGTCCCTCTTCCATCTGTCTCTTCAGAGTGGGAAGGAGAAAAACATAGACGACTGCTCGCCCCACTTTGGGCACTTGCGCAAGGCAAGTCCCATTCTCCTTCACAATCATACGCTTTCCACTCCCCTAGTCTGACCCAGACCCATTCTGTACTTCCGAGGACTACCTGTGTCAGGCGGGGACAGGCCCGCTCCCAGTACAAGACCATCTCGCCCTGTACGCGCCAGGCATCTTTCTGCACTCGTAGTGCCTCTTGGGCAACGGTGGATTCGAGATCTTCCGACCTAAGAGGCTGGGTGCGCCGCCAAAAGAGAATCCTCGCGCTTTTCAGGTGAGGGAGGGCATCCAGCGCGCCCTCCAGACGCTGACGGAGCTGGTCAGCCGGAAGGGCATCGATGACCCTTATTGTCACCTGCACGGTATGCGTTGGCACTAGGGGTAAGACCAGCTTGCAAAAGTCTTCATCAACCCTGTCAATCCAAGGTAGATCGAGAGCCAGGGGTCTCGGGGCTGCCTTTCGGATCGCGTGCAGGGCGTCGCGCACCATCTCGTTTGCCGCCTTTTCGGCGATCACGGGGTCGTACCGTCCGAAATTGCCAATAGGGCGGTTCGGAAGAAGGCAGGAACAGAGGGAGGGGTCGCATGGACAATATAACGCTTCCAGGGCTGGAAGAGAGCCGGGCGGTAGTGGGAGAGTTGTCGCGAGGGTTGCCATAGAAAATCGACGCGCAATTTGAGGGAGCGGAGATGTCGCTGAGAGGCGAGGAAAGACGCGAATTGAGGCAGATGAGTGGAGATGAGTCGGATATTGAGGGAGTGGAGGTTAAGAGTGGTGAGAGTAGAGAGGGAATTGACGATGAAGGCGGAGAAATTGAAGTCGTCCCCCAAAAGGCTAAGAGATCGGAGTGAGGATGGTGACAAGAGGCAGAGGAAGGGAGACCACTGCTCCCAGGTAGCTCCACGAGGTTCGTGCACTATCCATTCCTCCAGTACGAGCTTGCCCTCATGCAAGTGGATTTGTTCGGGGCTGAGACCGACCGAGCACGTGTCGCAGTCTAGTATGGTAAGAGCACCGAATCCTTCGAGTGTGTCTAGTAGATCCGGCATGACGAGCACCCTTCGCAACTGGAGGATGTGGATGTTTGCCAGGAGAGGGAGGAATGAGAGCGCATACTCCGGTAATGGTGAAGTTGTGGGATTCCACTTTTGTCCTCTTGTCTGCCAGACTAGGGCGTACCGCGTCCAAGTCCAGAGGTCCGGACGCGTCTTGCGTGATTGAATTCCGGCATAACCTGAACTTTGGGCATAAGAGGCCACAGACGAGAGCCATTTGAAGGTGCGGAACAAAAGAGGGGTAGAAAGGATGTTGAGGTAGTGAGAAGTGAGGCGGAGGCTCTGCAGAGAGGATGTGCGCATGAAGGAGAGGATGAGCGACCACACTTCGATGGGGAGCCTCCGGGGGTCGGTGGGCGTCAGCATACGCTCGTTGGAGGAGACAGAGGAGGAGGGCGACATTGGTGCGTCGACATGCGCAGAGGGCGGGGAGCTACAGGCGACCATGAGGAAGAGTGCTGTTATAGGCGCTGTGACTTGGCTTCTGTGCGTCATAAAAGAGAAACTGAGCGCCCATGAATAATGCGAGTAGAAGGCGAACAATCAATCCCCTGTCCACAAAAATGGCAGTGGTACCGTTTATAATACCTCGGCCTGAATTGCACCTGTTGATGGCCGTCACTGCCCCCATCTGTCTGCCGATCCTTTAGGGATGCACACCGGCGCTCTCTCGATCTCCGTCCTCCTTCTTCCTTCCTTTCGTTTACTGAACTGCGAGGAAAAAAATAATTGAAAGAATCGATGTCGGACTGGTTGTACGGGAAGTACTTGGCCGGCGGTAGTCTTGCTGTGCGGCTTCGTTCGGGCGTTATTCGGGGATGCCCTCCACAGGGTCGCCTCCTCGTTCCCTTTTAATTTCTGTGATCAGTATGATAGGCTGAGCAGAAAGTGTGCAGTTGTCACGATTTTTTTCCCTCACATTTTGGGCAACAGCTTGATAGGTGTGCGCTCCGGGTGTCGCGTGGTCATCATCATGACCATGTTAGTGGGACAAAAAGGTACGTCATAATTGTCAGATCACTTCCTACAAGAAAGAGATTATCAGATACGGTGGCTGCAAGGCTATGAGCTGGCATTCATGGAACCAAGAAACGTCCTCAAAACAACACGATAACCAATATAGATGTAACACGTAGTACTTCGGCCAGAACCAATCGGCAAAAACTGAATTCGGACATCATCAAGGCATAACAATTGGGTTTAGAGGCAACTCGTTCGAATCTTACTGGCCGTCATGGGTAGACCGCAGGGTAATAAGACGTGTTCGACCAAGCACCACAAACGCGATCACATGAACAAACAACATAGTCGAATTATACCCTTACGAGTGCCTCACGGCTGACGTGGAATAGTTGGACCAGCATTTGCGCAGGGAGTTGTCTCCCTTCTTGTGTGCAATCGCACAAACCCGTATCAGGTCTACGTCTCACGTCAGACACGGTGAGAAGAGCAGCATAGTACGCACCTGAATTCAGTAGCTGTGAGAGCCATAATCCGGAGTCGTGCAGGTACAGGTGTTGCCCGGATCGCCGTAAAACGAGAGCTGGTCAAGCAGATCAGTTTGATCAGGTACCCACCCCTTCTCTCAAGGTTACAAGCACCATCTCTCCTCCGGGACTTTGACAATGTACACATCAGAGAGACGGTATCAGATTCACAGGGATCGATAGGGCGAACACGAGGCATTCTGAGGCGATTGTACGCAACAGACTCAAGGAAACTGCCTAGAACAGCGATCCGGAGACTGAGTACTGCAGCGAGGAGGCTTCGGAAGAGTGCGATGTGAGTGGGGACGAGATAGCCCTGCCTCTTGATGTATCGCTGGTCGCGTTGTGAAGCCAAGAGCCTCTGAGCATAGCACACGCCGTTGTATTCGAAGTAACGAAGTGCTAGCCCCGGGAATTTGGTCGTGCCCTACCGGTCCGCTGAAGTGACCACCGCAAAAGTCAGCAGCATGACGCTCACGACCTCGAGCCGCATTGCACTAAGTACATGGCGCACGACACAGGCTACGGCGTACTCCGCATTGTGGAGGCTTGATAAAATACGGTCCTGTTCGGAGGGGTACAGAGTGTGGAATCGAGTAAATTGCCTGAAGTTGTCTGGGTGTGAAATGTTGGGAGCGATAAGCGTTGAGCGCACGTTATGATCCACATCTTCACTTCACCCGGACTACAAGCGCGACGATCTTCACCGGGTTCTACTGAGTGACTTTCCCCAAAACGGCACACTCGTAACCAAAGTATGCCACGTTGTCACAAGGTTTGGCACATTGAAGGCAATTCCAAGATGTTCAGCCAGCGAAATTATCGGAATTCAGAACCGCTGTTATGCAAGGGCCTCTGAGGCATCTCAAGAAGTCTGAGGAAGAGTCGTCATAGCTCCAACAGGCGTCCCGAATAGCGGTCGGTCCAGATGGTTTCCAAAATTCGTGCACCCTTCGTAAGATGTTGGCCAGAGGGGGAGAAAGAGCAGAACAAAAGCCCGCCAAACACCATATCGCGAGGTTCTACTTTTGTCGTATGTGAAGTACTACGGCGTGTTGCGTCCATTCCCAGAGTTGATACAACGCGGTGGAAACACAAGAAATAACTCCGGCGTCTCGACCAGAAGCAAGAAGGGCGCGGGAGCTGAATTAGAAATTGCTTACGGCATAACACCGTGAGATTCGCCGGGCAGCCAGTGCAGGTACCGCACACATGACAACAACGATTATTCGACGTACACGATCCAAACGTCATCATACAAACGAACGTACAAATCCAACGTTACAAAAAGGTCGTGTCACAGCCAGTGACTTTCAAGGACAGTCTGGAGGTCTCACCGGGAGTGGAATCCTTTCTAGTGTTCCTTCCTCCAAGCGCGTACGCCGCTAGGCAGCTCATATCAGAAAGTAGGATACTAGAATGGCATTGTACGTACCTCACGCGTCGCAGTAAATGCTGAAGCTCAAATAACCATTGTCCGGGTCCGTCCAGGTGCACTCGTCGACCGGCTCGCCGTAGGGCCAGAGCAGGTCATACTCCCCAGTTTGATCAAGCCCAGTGTACACGTACATCTCGCAGTTGTAGTCGGTGCTCACTGTTGCATGAAATTAGCGTTCGCCCCTGCATCAAATACATAAAGTGGGCAAAGGCTTACACAATCCGAACGAATACCTATATGTCTCAAAGTTGCCGATGTGATTTCCCAGTCCTTCAGCTTCAACAGCACCGTCGCATTCTATATATAATAAACCCCCACCGAAACAGAATTCCGTATCCTGATCAGCGGGCTACTGAGTGATGAGCGAGACGAGCCGTACCGACGAGGTTGTAGGCACTGAACTCCAGTAAGCCGGCTTTGGCAGCACGAGGCAGGGCAAGGAGGACCGCAGCGAGGGAGGCAGCGAGGAGCATCATTTTGCGTTGATGGAGGACTGTGTGTGAGCGAGGTAGGCAGCTCTGACTCTTGTCGTAAAGGAGAGTTCATAATTTATAGACGGTGGGATGTGGCAGCAACCAGAGCACTTGTCCTTGCACAAGAATTCATGTTCCCGGAGAGTTCAGTCATCCACTTCCATCCAAAGAAACTGAAGCGCGCACTAGTCAGCTGTCTAACAATCCCGAGCTCCGACCGGCTTTGCACCGAAGGAACAGGGTGCCAAACCCGCTCCGATGCAGTCTGCACAGTCATATCGCAGGAAGGCACCGTCGAATTCGAAGAGATGTAGAGTTGATTGGAGGTCTTTGTATGCAAACGTTTGTACATGGTGTTAGAAGCGACACCCGTTCCGTCCATCGCACGATCCAGACGCGCACGTTGCAGATACTGCACTGGTGTATCTTTATGCAGTACTTGAACCCGCAACGGGAAGCATCATGCCCCTTGACAAGGCTTGCGGTGGAATATGATGCACCAAAAGGGCACAGGCACGACCAAAGCATGACCGCCAGAAAAATGGGCAATTCACCGCGCTTCCAGAATGCCAGTCCAGAGAAGATGTGGAAATCCGAGACCTCGCATACGCGAAGCAAGTGTAGAGCGTCCAAAGTACCCGCAAAGAGTATGCAGCTAGAAGCATTCCAGGCACAGGGGTAGATAGAATGGATTGGTATTGAGTGCGGACGACGCCGTTGAACCAATTCAAGGGGAAAGACGGTAGCAAAAATTCCCTCGGTAATACCACGAGCTTGCATTGATGACTAATGAGAGATTGCTAACGTGGGTCGAGGACCAAAACTGCCACTTTGGATATGATCAATTACGGACCGACAAAGGACCCATATTAGGGCTCAGAACACAACTGTTCAGCCGTGCCGGGGTATTTCCGGTGTTTTGATTTGTCGTATGTGGTGAACCAAAAGAAGTACTTACAGACATGATGGTCACGAGATTGGACGCGTCGACACATTTTTTGACGCGTGGTTTCATGCATCCCATTAACATTCTTACATGCGCTTTACAACAGAAAACTCGTCCCGCTTTCTATCTTGTGTGCTCAGTCCAAATCCTCCAGGCTCCTCTCTTTTGGTGCGTCTTCCTCTGTGTTCTCGGAGCTGGTCCAAGAGCGCCGCAGGAGATCTTCATCACCAAATAATTCATTGATGTCGCGCATGGTGATGTCCTCGTTCACGTCCTCCCGGTCGCGCTCGTCGAGCTCAGTAGCCATGTCGTCATCGATGTCAGTGCGGCTTTGAATGAAGAACGGTGCCAGGTTCTTCGCAATCTCGCTTGCGCCCAAGGCAACTTGGCCTGCCGTCTTCAGCACCGGCTTTGCCTTCTCCCAATCCTTCGCAGCCTCGGCCTTGACCTTGGGCCAGTCCTTCTTGATCGTGGCTTTGGCAATGGCGGCACCGGTCTTGACCTTGGCACTAGCGTTGTGTGCAGCGGTTTTGACCTTCACACCCGCGTTGTGTGCAGCAGTCTTGACCTTTGCCTTGACTTCATGCGCAACCGCCTTAACCGTCACTCCGGCATCGTGTACTGCTTTCTGGACCTTAACTCCCCCGGCGTGAACAGCAGCCTTGGCGCTCTCGATCGTGCGCGTGTCGAATTCAAGATCCTCCTCGTTCGCATCACGGGTTGTTAGGTACTCGTTCCCTTCTTCATCACGAGTGACTATGTACTCATTCCCATCCATGTCGCGAAAAGCGAGGGGCGCCAAGGCCATGCCAACCTTAATAGCAGCCTTGACATAAGGCTTCAAGATTGGCCAATCCTTCTTGACCTCTGCCTTGACTTTGGGCCAGTCTTTCTTGATCTCCGCCTTGGTGATGGCAGCGCCAGCCTTGATCTTAGCGCCAGCCTTATGCGCGACCTCTTTGACTTTAACCCCCACGTCGTGCGCCACGGTCATCACTTTCACGCCGACGTCATGGGCAACCTCCTTGACCTTGACACCGGCGTTGTGTGCGGCAGTCTTGACAGAAACCTTGGCACTAGCCAAGGAGCGGGCATCGAGGTCGGCGTCGTCGGCATCAATGTCACGCACGACAAGGGGAGCAACGGCACTCGCGATCTCGACGTACGGCTCTGCTTTGCGCCAGTCGTTTTCTAAAGTCGTCTTGAACGTCTCCCAGCTGCGGGCGGACAAGGCGGGCAATGCAGGGGTAGAATCAGGTGTGGGTGATGCAGGGCCGTTCTCGAGGGACTGATAGGAATGCTTGTACATGCGCTTCTTGCGGTGAGTAAGGTGGGCACAGTTCTTGTGAACACATCCGCGTCGTCCTTGGCGGCGGTACGCACCATCATGCTTGCGGCGCTGGCTGAATGTCGGAGCTGAAGGAGGAACAACTTTGGCAGGAGAAGGAGGTACAACACCATCGCCGGAAATCGGAGCGGAAGCAGCAGAAGGAGCCTCGGTCATAGTTAAATCGGTGTTGATGGTAGCCTCGGTTTTTTTCATCTGCATCGGGGCCGCAAGAACGGTAGACGCAGCGATGGCAAGGAAGAGAAGTTGCTTTGTGGAAGGCATGGTCATCAAAGTATCGATGGATGATAGTTGTTGATGAGTTGGTCTGAAATTCTAATGAGATAGTATAGTGTAGATTATGGCTGGCAAAAAAAAGTCAGTACAAAATGTAACTGTATTCATACGGCGACTCACCGTCCGGCACCAAGTAGTATAGTTTGTGTGGCTAGAAAGTAGGGCGAGAGGCTGAAGAAGACTATTAGTTATGCGTGAATGGAGAGAATGCAGTTCCACCCACTGTCCAGCACCGATCAGAGGAAGCTTGCGAGTTTGGAGTGATGATAGTTGACCATCCAAACCGGCCACTTTTATCCTCCTTTCGGACAAATTCACTCGAATCTGTGACATGAACCTTTTCTTGGTTGAATTGTATTTCTCATCGGCTTCACTGCTCTCCCTCTCCTGCCCGGGCCAGGAAAATGGATCAGACCATAAGTTTCGTCCAATGAAGCGGTCGACCAAATGAGCTTCAGTGCTCTCCCTCTCCTGCCCGGGCCAGGAGAATGAATCAGACCATGAGTTTCGTCCAATGAAGCGGTTCACTGAATGAGCATCATGCAATATCGTTTGTTTTGAAGTACTAGGGTCGGTAGTTTGGACGCTTCCTGTTGGTACTAGGTTCCGGTGTTGCAACAGGAGGTCGCCCGTACTAGTATGTTGAAAACGGTGGTTTCAGATCGGAACCATGTAGCTGATGACCAGTGCGGTTCAACCGAGACCCTGCTGGTAAAACAGGTCGTGTGGGCGATCAACTGGTTGGACCCTATGTGATGCAGACGACCACAGGAGGCGATCACATGTTTGGTATTCATTGCGAGCACAGCATTGCGGCTCGAACTGAATGGTAGCTCCGCCTTTCCGCAGTTTCTACGGCTTTGGTCGTCTGCACCTGTGCCAAGATATTATACAAGCTATGGCTCGCTGAGGTTTCGAGTCCGTCTTCTCCATACCAATGCCCCTCGTCCACCATACGTTCCGACTCATGAAGTTGGCTGAAAGCAAACACGGCATAGCCCGCGGAGGATGGCGATCACCAAGAGAAAATTGTATGACACCAGAAGGGTTGTAGCCAACGGTATTGACTCGGCATGGAAGATGTGATGGGCGCAGCTCCATGGAGCACCGGTATTCAAGATTCAATACGTTGGAAACTTGGATAACAATTGAGAATGCTGAATCGCCTCCTCTCCGGCCTCACTGGCAGCTTACCGAGAAAACGCTCTTCTGCCCGAATAAATATCATGCTTAGCTCACAGCCGATGTGTACCCGACTGGCTACGTGTGTGTGAACTGATTCTTGTCACCAAACAAGAACATGCGCTCAACACCTCTCAACCCATCCATCACCGTGACTACTACTGCGGTGCCGTTGCTGATACAGAATGGTCTGGTTGCTCTGTAAAGGATGTTGTATCTTCTTTGGATGTTGCATTTCCTGACGTCTGAATACCCCTTTCGTCTAGGAGTTCTCAATGGGCGCCCGTCAATTATCCTTCGCCACGCGGTGTTAATCTTCTCGCCTAATGCTCTTCAGACTGCCTCTGCATCTTGCGTCAATGCACAAGGAGATTTTCATCCCTTGTCGGACCACATGGGAAAGCCTATGGATATTTCTCAAGTAGTTGAAAGTGAATTCGGTTTGAATCAAGCTATGACGTTAAAGGAGGCGCGAACCCCTGTCGCCCGCCCCCTCCCCTATTCAGCGGTGCTTGAGAGCTTGATGAATTCTGCACTCCTCTGCAATAAGAAAAGAGCTGAGCAACCGTGTCAAGTACTGGGTCATGATCGGACTCGACACCACTGGAACTGTACGATATGTTATAAGAATGAATTCGTTGCGAGTTTCTGGCGCGTTTGAAGCTAGCAAAAGTGTAAGTGTTCCGCCAGGACCTCATAATCCTCGATCAAGAACTTGGGAAAAGGTGTGGTCGTGTCGAATCTGTCGTTAGGAAACATGAGACAAAAGATCAGGGAGTATTCAGCCTCAAGGTTTTTCACACATGTAGACGTCGCAAGTTGTCATGGATGGGCAACGTGACTGTGTTTTAGGCACCGGCAATAACTATGATATACGCCTAATTTTGCTCTAACGTGTCTGAATTCATTACTATCGAGGATGCGGAGGAGTACAGGGCAAATGTTATACAGCATTGTTGCTGCCCGGCCCATCGACAGCTCTAATCCAGATCCTCCAAGCTCCTTGCCTTCGGTGCCTTAGCGAGATAAGGCGCGAGGTTGCTCGCTACCTGGGCGGCGCCAGCGGCGACATTGCCTGCAGCCTGGACGTACGGTTTAGCCTTGTTCCAGTCGTTCTTGACTGTGTTCTTGAAGCTCGCCCAGGAGCGCTCATCGAGGTCGAGGTCCTCTAGGTCGCGCTCGTCAAACGCGATGTCCTCCCATTCACGTTCTTCGAGTTCCGTGTCGCTCAGATCGCGGCGACTGTTCTTTACCAGGTACGGCGCAAGATTGCTGGCCACCTGGCTCGCCCCAACCGCGATTTGCCCAGCCGTCTTCAGAACAGGCTTTGCCTTTTGCCAGTCCTTCTTCACCTCTGCCTTCACCTGAGGCCAGTCCTTCTTGACTTCAGCCTTTGCCCGAGAGACACCAGACTTGACGGAGGCGCCAACCTTTTGCGCCGCGGCCTTAACCTTCACACCTGCGTTCTTTACAGCAGTCTTGACCTTCGCAGCACCAGCCTTGACAGCCGCTTTTGCGCTCGCCATGGAGCGTTCATCCATGTCCAGCTCATCGACATCAACATCGCGCATTGCAAGGGGAGCAACTGCGGCGGCAACCTGAGCCGCGCCTTTGACATAGGGTTTTGCCTTGTTCCAATCGTTTCTCACCGTGTTCTTGAAGCTCGCCCAAGAGCGCTCGTCGAGCGCGAATTCGCCATCGATGTCACGGAACTGGAGCTCAGAATCGTCATCGTCGAGGGAACGTGCCTTGGGTGCCTTTGCGAGGTAAGGGGCAAGGTTGCCTGCCACCTGGGCGGCACCGGCTGCAACATTGCCTGCAGCCTGGACATACGGCTTAGCCTTGTCCAGTCGTTCTTGACTGTGTTCTTGAAGCTCGCCCAGGAGCGCTCGTCCAGCTCCACTTCGTTGCCATCAACATCGCGCATTGCAAGGGGAGCGACAGCAGCCGCAACCTGGGCAGCGCTCTTGACGTAGGGTTTTGCCTTGTTCCAGTCGTTTTTGACTGTATTCTTGAAGCTCGCCCAGGAGCGCTCGTCGAGCTCCACATCTGAGGTATCAACATCGCGCATTGCAAGGGGAGCGACAGCAGCCGCAACCTGGGCAGCGCCCTTGACGTACGGTTTTGCCTTGTTCCAGTCGTTTTTGACTGTATTCTTGAAGCTCGCCCAGGAGCGCTCGTCGAGCTCCACATCTGAGGTATCAACATCGCGCATTGCAAGGGGAGCGACAGCAGCCGCAACCTGGGCAGCGCCCTTGACGTACGGTTTTGCCTTGTTCCAGTCGTTCTTGACTGTATTCTTGAAGCTCGCCCAGGAGCGCTCGTCGAGCTCCACATCTGAGGCATCAACATCTCGTGCATGCATAAGATATGGTGCCGCAGCACCGGCGATTTGAGCAGCGCCCTGTACATAGGGCTTGGCCTTGTTCCAATCCTTCTTGACGGTGTTCTCAAAGCTCTTCCAGCTACGCGCGGACAGTGCCGGCGAGACGGGCGAGGAGGGTGCCGCGGTAGTCTCGTTAGACGGTGCAGGGGTATGCTTGTGCGAGTGTTTGCTATCATGGCGGCGGTGCCCATGTCGGCCGTGCTTTCTGTGGTGGCGGCTGTGACGCCCCGAACGGTGGTGCCTGTGATGCTTGTTGTGCTTGCGATCATGCTTCCCTGAGGGAGTTGAGGGAGTCGCGGGAGTCGCAGGGGTGGTGGGGAGCGCCGGAGCGGTCTCAACCGGTGCTGGCACAGCGGCAGCCGCATTAGCCGTGACGAGGTCGGTGCCCGTCGTAGTATCACGTGCCTCAATCTGCATCTGCAGAGGAACGGCCAGAACGCTCGAAGCGGCGAGGGTAAGGAAAAGAAGCTGCTTGGTTGAAGGCATTGTAGTATTGTTACGGGTTGGGTCGGAACGTTGATGTGGATGTTAGTAACGAGAGAATTTAGAGTAAATTGAGGCTGAAAAATTCGCGTTAGTAAGAATGAACCGTGTCGACAGAAGAGCCACACACTGTCCGGCACCAACAATGATATTATGAGCTGAAGCGAAAAGAAAGGCTAGGAAAGGCAGTTAGCTTTCTGACCACAGGGGGGTAAAGGTTGCGACCCACTGTCCAGCACCGATCAGGAGGAGTTGTGACTGTGGAGTGAGGATGTTCGTCACTAGGCAAGGACCATTTTATGCGACCAGAGAATGTTCATCGGGCTCTCAGACTGCAGACTGCCAGCGCATCATCCCTTCTTGCGTTGCGATTCGTTCCCTCAACCCAACAGGAGGATATCCACGTGCGTTTCAGCGGAAAGTCGTGCTACTGAATGGTTGGTATGTTCCGGTGCTGTTGGAAGCAGGGAAGGTCGGACAAACCATTCCTGCTAGTAAGAGATGGATGGATATGGGATCAACCCTAGGCACAGACAAAAGAAGCAAGCATATTGGACCCTAGAGTCGTGTCTTGCCCCCATCATTTGTTCCACATCTACTTCTGACACAGCATTTACTGGATAGCGATGACTCCATCTTCTGTTCTCCCCGCTCGGCTTCCGCGAAATCCATCTTCTCCATCATCCATCACCTGTGCACTTCTTCTTGAAATCGGAGGCTAAGACGCTGTGGGCAATCTCAAGCGTATGTTTCATAACCATCTTGATGCTGTCGAATCACCCATCGGAACTTGCCCGACAGACAACCACTTTTCAACGTGATCCGAACTCCTTCCGTGGGATTCTACCCGACGTTCCCGACCCCTGAGCTAAGCAGTCCAACCGCCTTGAGAGAAAAGGACATCGCATAGCGTGTTCGAGCCTGGCTGGCGACCCGGGAGAAGGTATCCGACAATTCCCAACAAGGACCTGGCATTTCCCATCACTTTCATTAACGACAAGTTAAATCTAGAAACTCGGTGAGGGGGCTTCAGATAGTACGAGTTTGAATTAATTACATGGATCGAGGCGTTAAAACATCCTTCCAAGCTGCTTCATCCGTATCGCACGACACAGTCTTTCATCGAATCTTGCCATACCCAGTTGAATAATCGACGAACGTGGTGATGCGCAGCCCTGGAAGTGTGAGAGCTGTCGCACGCCAAGTATTGTTGTAATTCAACCGGCCAGGAATAAGAAGGGGTGATCTGTCCGATTGTGTCAACGATACAGCACTTAATGGTCCACAGGCAGATTACACTTACTAAGCTCGAGAGTGGAAGATTGGAACTGTGATGTCCTCGCCCCTCTCTTACAAAGCATCTCCTGACGAGGCCCTTCAGGCTTCGAATGTTAGCCACCTCTCTGCCCCCACCTGCCTCCCATGAGACACGATACGTCCTGAACATGCAATGTTTCACGTGGGCAGTCTCCTTGGCCAGGAGATGTTCGATCTTCCGATTGAAATCCTGTGACCTATAAATAGGACGAGGGATAGGCACCGTGGAGGTAGTTGATTATCCCGAGGACGCCGCAGGATGAGCATTGGTGGCATGCATTATCCCTTGCTGCTTCAACATATGTCTCTCAAATCCCACGTCGCGCTTACATCGCTCGGAATGCCGAGTCGATCTTGTGATTCCGGTCCGGAATTCGCGTTCTCGGGAGTCGCTACGGGTTCGCGTTACTCATTTTCAGCCACACGGGCCCTTGGTTTGCATCCAGTCTAGAGAGGATATCTGGTCCTCAACAAGCAGACATACAGCTTCCACACAAACTGCAACTGGGAGAACTTCTAAACAGGAAGCTGGCCAAGCAGAAAGCGTAGTAAGCGAAGCACTCGGAACTTCGGTGTTGGGTGAAAGTTGCTTACATGAAGGAGTGGTCTTCATGTGTTCAGTATGGACCAAATAATAAAAGCAAAGTTCCGGGAGGTCGATCGAATTTCCCAAACACGAGATATTATTGGCAGCAACTTGACAAAGGATTCGAAGACATGAACGCAATAACTTTCGATAATTCTGATCCGCGCAGCTTCTTCATCCTAGGATTCTTCAACAACGGCGAGTAACCTCCGATCTGCCCCACATAGTTGTGTAAAGCTCTCGCGGAGGGTGATTCCGGTCTCGCCCAAAGAATTGCGGTGCCAGAGACCGAGGAGGGCGCTGACACAGCCGCAGATATGCGGGTTGATAGCATCGCAACGTTGACAGCCTTGAGCACCGTTCAGGGAAGAAATAAGGATGATCAACGTGAAAATTCAGGTAGTGTCTTTGGTCCAGGCGCATACTTGCAGGTCGCGGTCGCGGTCCCGTGCTTGCTTCACAACGAGGATGCCACGTGGAGAATGGGCAACGGATGTGGTTGGGGAGAGATCTACGGTACTAATCTTCATAATCGCAACAAAAGCATTGATAATCAGATTCGATACACGTTGAATAATTATGAGAAAACGGCATGAAGAGATGGCGTGTGAGCAGGTAGGTGATCAACTTAGAGCTGCCCTACAACACACGTCGTCCCCACACGTCTAGCGGAAGCATATGGAAGGGCCCTCCTTTTTCCAAGTTGGTTTCTTTGCCTCGCGCGTCCTTTGCCTGGCCCGCCGTCGCCGTCCCCTTACTATCCCACATTGCCATCACTCACTAAAACAATACCAAAATGGCCGCCGCAGATGTTATGGAGCAGCCTGAAGAGATCAGGGCATCGTCCTATGTCGGCTTCGATAGCATTACCGACCAAATCAAGCACAGGCTGGTCAAGCGTGGCTTCCAGTTCAATGTCATGGTTGTTGGTGCGTGGAGCTCTTGCCACCCCAGGGACGACAGCGGTGACTCATATGCTCATGTGTTTGCAGGTCAGACGGGTCTTGGGAAGTCGACAATGATCAACACAATCTTTGCGAGCCATCTCATCGACTCTAAAGGAAGGTTTGAAGCAGATGAGCCCATAAGGCAGACAACGGAGATCGTCACCAACTCCCATGGTCCGTGGTGAAATCGCATAAAGGCTCTAGTGATTGACTCCACATTATAGTGATCACTGAAAACGGTGTGAAGCTGCGGTTGAACATCGTTGATACGCCTGGATACGGCGATCAGATCAACAATGAGGGATGGTGCGTACATTCCAAGCATCCTCCGTCTCATAAAAGCTCAGACGCGTCATTTCAGCTGGGACCCCATCGTCAAGTACATCAAGGACCAGCACTCCCTTTATCTTCGAAAGGAGCTCACTGCCATGCGTGACAAGTATATTCTGGACACTCGTATTCACTGCTGCCTCTACTTCATCAACCCGACTGGCCATGGACTCCGACCGGTTGACGTAATCGTCATGAAGAAGCTGAGCGAGGTTGTGAATGTGGTGCCTGTGATTGCCAAGGCAGATTCACTCACTATGGACGAGAGGTTGAAGTTCAAGAAGCGGGTAAGCGCACGGCACCCACGTGGCCTGTTGATGCACGTTGACAAACTGTTACGTAGATCCGGGAGGAGTTGGCATACCACAGCATCAAGCTCTTCCCCTTCCAGAGCGATGAGTATGACGAGGATGAGGAGAAAGAGAACCAGATGATCCGCGTGAGTGGCATTGTCAATGGTCAAGCTGTCAAGACTGATCCCTCAAACAGGACATGATCCCTTTCGCTGTTGTCGGATCCGAACGCAACGTCATCCTCGATGGCAAGTCTGTCCGTGGCCGTAAAAACCGCTGGGGCGTGATCAACATCGAAGATGATAAGCACTGCGAGTTCGTGTACCTGCGCAACTTCCTCACACGTACCCACCTGCAAGACTTAATCGAGACAACTGCTCAGCTCCACTACGAGGCGTTCCGCAGCAAGCAGCTGCTCGCACTCAAGGATGCATCCAACAGGAATGCCCCGTCGACCACTACACAGTCGTAATTTCTCTTTCGTACTGCTATATCCAGCTAGTCGCGTTTCACGCGGGTATCTTGTGCGAACTATTCCCTCTAAAACCGGGTCCCAGATACCTCGTTCCTTCGTCCTTCCTTGTTCGTGTAGTTCTTCTGCCTGCGGCGGTCAATATGATACCATTCCTTCTGCCTGGATACTTCAAGTTGTTGAAATGAATAGTGAAGTGGATATTTCTATCCATGCTGTCTGTGACTGTTGACGCTGTCGAAACTTCCAGAACGGGAACTAATTCGAAGAGCGTGGCGCGACTTTCTGAAGTCAGCTCACGCTTTCATTTACTATTGTTGCTTTACTCCTGCCTTTCTCTACCTCATTTAATCCATCTATACAATGTCTGGAATGAGCAGCACCACCGCCGTGAGCTGGCTGCCACAGGAGTGGAAGCGCTCATTGACGCACATGCTTCCAGAACTGGCACTGGAAAAATAAACAACTGAACCAGTGGGGCTCAGCCTGGTTCGAGCGCGAGCTTCCAACAGTCGAAATCAGTGAGGGAGCGGCGAAGGTTGGTGTTGTGAAGGTGACCGAGGTGGACGGGGATGTTGAGCTGGGCAGGAGGAAATCGAAGTAAGTCAGCGTCAGACCTTGTGAAGAGACGCTGACGCGCAATGAAGACTCATTACTATCTACGACGTGAAGATCAATCTGGAGTGGGAAGGTGCGTCGTATATGCGCGTTGAACACGATATTAGGCTAATATTTGTGTGAAGGAATGGCGGACGATGGGACTGAAGTGAAAGGGACGCTGTTCATTCCCGAAGTCTCGCATGAGATCACGGTTGACCAGATCTCTGAATATTCTGTTCGCATCCTCCTTCTGGCTCTGCTCCGCATATGTTCTGACACAGTGATATAGTACCAATGGTCACTCACTACCGCTTCGTCTCCTGCCGTCGATGTGGTGTACAAGCTGGCGAAGACCAAACTGCGCGAAGCGCTGGAGAGCAAGTTTGCCGAGTTCCCGATCGCTATTATTGAAGTACATGGGAAAGACCTCATCGTGTCCGCCGCTAACAGCGGCACGGCAACACCCGTAAGTGTGGAAGGCGGCAGTGCCAGTGCGAATCTGGGAGCAGCGGCAGCGTTCAACCCACCTGTGGCTCAGCCAAAGAGCACGAAGAAGCCGAAAGAGGTACTGAACACATCGACCGTCGAGAGAGAGGCGAGGTTCATGGCCAGTGCGGATGATTTGTTCGACTTGCTAACGTGCGTCCTCCATAACTTAGGCGCCACGCGTTTCTCACGACGGACAGCGACGAGCGCCGTATTCCGACGTGGTCACGCGCCGCAGCTCATTATAGGCCCGAGCCTGGTTTTGAATTCTCGCTGTTTGGTGGAGGTGTGACTGGCCAGATCACCGACGTTGATCGACCAAAGAAGATTGTATCCACATGGAAGCTGTCCAGCCCGACATGGCCTACTAATCACGCTGGGACGCTTACTATCGCCTTTGATCAAGGATCGGATTCGACGGAGGTCAAGTTTTCATTATCGGGCGTTCCGAAGGGGATGGAACAGGAGCTGGAGAGTAATCTGGAGGGATACTAGTGAGCCTTTTGTGTTCTCAATATCACCAAGACACTGACGCGCATCTTCAGCGTGAGGGGTCTGAAGTCTACTGGGTTAGTTCCTCTCGATCCTTTTTCTGCATTCCGCCCGCCACGGCCTAGTGAGACTTCGGACAAACGGCGAAGTCCTCGTTCGGCAAGGACATGCCCATCACGGTTCCCACTTTGGGCCCAAAGTGCTGCCGCGCTCGTCGCAATCGGGGCGGTTGTACTTTCCCTTTTTATCTTACAAGGACGCTAGAACATGTACTAATGACTACTTTTTGGCAACTCACAGGCTCGGTGCGATTCTGTAATCGCTCAACGAAACAGGGTAGGGGGCTCAATAGATGAAATATAAACTCTTTGTCCGTCTTCAATGAACGGGCGCACACAAGTGCCAGTCCTCATGCTATATGGACCGACAACTCCTGAACGGGCACTTTACACGATCTCGCTCAGTACTTCGCCAGTGGCGTTCATCATACAGTCCTGCCGGTGCTTATCTCCTTCACTTGACATCAGTACTTAATTTGCTGTCTTGGTTGCAGGCACTGGCGGTTTGGCACTCTTTGTGGTCTAAACCGGCGACCGGAGATGATGACGAGCTGTTGCATTTCAAGAACTCCAATGATCAATCACTGCTACACGATGTTGCCCTGAAGCAGTCGAAACGATCTTCGAATCATTCATTCGTACCAGTTGTCCGGAAGACACTAGTACGTTTACTCAGCCCGGAATACGGTCCTGCTCCTCCGCACGTTGTTCGGGCTTGCCCGCCACACCCACCTCTTCTGATTACGAGTCATCCGCTAATACCGCCTTTTTCCTATTCGACCGTGCCAGACCTGTATATGCTCATTAATTACCGCGCACCGATCAGAACGTGTGTGTTCTCCAACTACCGGCCACACGAGAGTAACGGCCCATTCAATTGCAGACACTGCCATGTCTGATGAATCCGTGGAGAAACACTACGTATAAAAGGCGGCATTGATGCCCTCATTTCGTTCGTGAATCAGAGCTTACGTTCTGTCCCCCCCCCCCGCCTGCACTGGAAAAATGTTGTTTATCTCAGTCCCTGCTGTGCTGTGCGTCATGTTCGCTTTAGTGCAGTCCTCTCCTTTGGAGAGGCGTGCAAATATTGGGGTCGATACATTCACAGGCAATGGTCAATATGGAAACCTATGTTATGAACTTCTTCATGATGACACCTTGACGCGGGTTGCACCGACTTCGAGGAATTCATTCATGTAGGTGCAGTGGGCGCCAATGCCAATGTGTTTCCTGGACCAAGGTACGTAAGATCATCTCTTGCTGGTAACACTTTCCTTAACCCACATATCGTAGGAGATCATTTCTTGTGATTGACAGCGATCTCACTTGTACGGCATGGCTTAAAGTGCCGATCAGCAGTCAATAAACGTTGGGTATTGACTACCGGTCCAGGCGAGGGAATAATGTGGACCGGCGTTTTCAATGGCGATAAGGTGGTCTTCAACCAATTCCAGCTGACACCTGGAACTTGTTTTGGCAATGGCGAAGCGTTCAACTCTTTCGACTTCCGTACGTACTTGCCTGCATCGTCCGAACCACTGTGGGCTGACGATGGTCAATAGACTGCTTTTCGAGTATCATGAGCAATTTTGGACGTGAGATATTGCACTTCAATCGCAAACGATTATTTCCTGACTTCTGCATCAGCAAAGACGAATGAGCAGGCAGCACCCACTTCTGGTCTCATTGAGTTCTCCGAGTTTTCCACGGTCAGCCATCGTATAACTGAGTGACACTGAGCTGTTGGGTTAGGCTAATTAGGTATGCGGTACGATACATAAACAGAGCGCGTCTGTTGCTTGTTGAGCACATCGATAACCGAGATTCTGTTTGATGCCCAGGCACAGTCTATCGGAAACGTACAGGCAGCAGTTATCTAAGTCGAGTCACCAGAATTCTTATTGACAGCACAGTTCGTTACAGACATCAGACCGCCTTGCGCAGATGCATATGATGGTAAACGGGGTTTGGACCGGAAGATGCGGAAACGGTGACCATTCATTATCTGCCAGGTGGCGTGCCGCAGGATTAAGCGGATTTGGTTGCGTCCCTCTCTCTCTCTCCATGGACCGGCTTATCGTATTCCGTATAATCACTATGC